CGAAAAATGCATTGCCGATAACCAAATTTCATTTCTATATAACACGCATTTTACAGTAATAGTAATCAAATTTATTGATATATATTTTTTCTATACATATAATAAGATGTAAAGAAAAGTAAAACGTGTTGATCTCTATATACTCTTCATTTGTACTTGAATAACTAATGACTCATACAGAAGAAAGTCCCTTTTTATAGATTTGTCTTTGAATAATCATCATCTGCCTTTAATTTAATCTTAATCCATATCTTTGTTTCTGCCTCGTATTCCTTCAGGAAATATTACTAGTGATACTGATCTTTTTAAATGGATTCAAATAAGAATTTAATACTATTATGACTATAATGATTCCTTGATACCTAATCGATATGAAGAAGAATCTCTAAATAAAACCTACGAATTAATAAAATCTTTATGTTGATTCAGTTCCATCTCAAGCTTTTTCGTATCTTCTTTATGAAGTGATATAAAAATCAATATTCAAGATTTCTGAGCTATTTGATCATTCTTCAACTAATATCATAATAATAAAACTTCAATCAGAACGGTTTTTGTGTAAAACATAACTATGACATTAGATCATATTATCATCTGTATATATTCTTTTTTTTTTTCGTGTCTCTTCTAATACCTAGCCGTCCACACATATAGAATGTACAAAAAGTAATGGTAGTAGAACAGGAAACAAAATACAGAAATAAGTTCAAGAACTTTTTCTTTCATCAAACGTTCAAAGCAATCGTCTTGATTATTCAAACACTACTGCATTCGTTAAATCTCTTTATCGAAGATTTTTTCTATGAACCATGTTAAAATTTAATTTAACTTTATTTTGTTGACTATTTTGAAAATACATGAATAAACTACACATGCGCACAAACCAAACAAGACAGGTATCTGAATATTTATGTATGTATGGACAACTTGGTATTAGAAGACGCAAGAAAAAAAACAAAAAGACAATGCATATGAATAATAGCATGATCTAAAGTTATGATCAAATTTTACGGAAAAGTAATTCTTATCGAAGTTTTATTATTATGATACTAGTTGAAGCGTGATCGAATAGTATACAAAAATAGAGCATTGTTGTTTCTATGAATACACAAAAAAAAAGTTCTTCAAGGTTTCTTTACAGAAATAAAGTATTTCCGTCACTACTTTTCGATTGCCCTAAGTAGTTTTATAATGATTAAAAGTATGATATCCTCAGCACTACTCTAGTGATAATCCGCTACATTAGCATGATTTTATCGTCAATATTTTCCATCTTAATTACAAACATCAATAAAACAAAGTCAACTTACTATATTGCAAGACATTTATCATGGAGATGTAATATAATGAATTTGAAGGATAAACGTGATTAATTAGTTGAGTCGACTGTCAAGTAAACAGATGAAATCATCAAAAACAAATACATTAATACAAAAACGAATCAATGCACTGGAATTTCTTCGTTTCATTTTGATTTGTTGATAACTAAGAACATATTAAATACTTACCTGTAAAATAATGGATAGTTATCAGCTAGAAGAACACATTCCATGGGTATTTTTTCGGGAATAAGTTTTTTTATGCAGTGATGAATTCAAAGTAATATAAAAATAGAAAATCAATCAAGTGTATCATCAACAGTCGATGATGTTCTTAAGAAATTGCGAATATTAGTAATTGTATCATAATGTACAAAAATATCAAATCGTTCATTATAAAGTCCTAACAATGAATAGAGAACATCATTATTGTTGAGCTTCTTCAAAACAATAATCAATTCTACATTGGACAGATCAAGAAGATGAATATCTGATCGATTCATATTTGCTTATAACTGTCATCCTTCTAAAAACACACGTATAAATATGTTGGTTCTTTAATTCCGACTTTTTTTTGGCAGCAAACAATAGATTTTATGAGCGTATTGCAAAACAAAAGAGGTGATATCGATGAATATATCATCAAATATGGTCATCAACAGATTCTGACATCTTTTCAATATTTATTGATTGTGTTGCGATCACTTCATAACGTCATGTGAAATGAAAATATAAGCTGTATATGTTTCCATCGACTTCATATGAATAAAAAGGTGTAGATTTATGGTGTGAATAAAAGCAACACCAACAAGTACATGTACACCCACATTGTAGAATATTTTAAGAAAAACGTCTTCAAAACGAATCACTACTTACTTTCACCATGGTACTGAATATTCATTGACATTACATATTCATATGTCTTTTATAATATCTTCTGACTTTTGAGTTTCACTATACTCAGAGCGTTAACCTTCAGTGAAAACCTTTTCGTTTTCGATAAACACATATCGCAGCTTGAGAAAGTCACGACAGTCTGCAACTTATTTAGAATACCACAGTTAATTTTTAGTGAAATGTTTTCCAAGAGCTGAATGGTACATACTGCTTTGAAAATTTTGAACAGAACAGCTCAACATCAAAGAACGGCAGGCATCGTTCAGTTACGACGCTGTGAACTCGATTTCCTAGAGTGCTCACCTGTTACTTACATTTAGTGGTAAATACCAAAGTCCGATGAGAACTTCTCGTCTTTTTAGTGATTGCAGACTATGACTTTTTATTTACGGCAGTATTAGTAGTGACAATCATCATTGTATTCATCAAGCTTTGCAGGAAATATCGTATCAGTTTCATGATCATCTTTTTTTTTTTTTTATTTCACAGATTTTTCAAATATTGCTCTCTGAGTACGCGCGAATATTTAATAAGCTCTTCAATAACATTAACTGATTTTCCATATTCAAATGTTACACGTTTGCTTTTATTTGACCAGTTAACTTGAATCCATTCTGCACCACCATCTGCACAGTCAGGACACCCTATACGATCATCTAACTTTAGAAATATGTCTGTATCGAAAACAGCAATAAGTTTTTGCCATTGAATCAAATCGAAAGGGTATTGCCGTTGAATAGTTGGATATTTTATTTGATCTCCATTAGATTCTTTCAATGCAATTAATTGAGGCGGAACATTTGTCATATTAATAGATCGACGACAATAGCCAAGACATTCTCCAAACGATGTTCCGCTCGAAATTGAACGAATATCATCATTTTTATGTATGAATTTTGTTTTTGCTGGTTGTCCATTTCTCACCACCAATAGTAAGATAACGACGAGAGCATACCACGACATGTTTTTTTGTTTTAAATGTCAGCGCACGTGCTATTATGCAGAAAGAAAAGCAATAAAAAAGGTTTTACTGTTATTGATTCTTTTCTAATGAAAAAAATATATGGCTTACGCTCACATCTGCTAATGTTTCAAAGGACGAAGAGAGTCGATTAACAAGACGTGGAAGAAAAAAATATATAGGCTATGCGCATAATAAACACTATAGACTATCTGCAATTATTTGCTCGATTTCTATTGACACAGGGCAGTGCGCAAATAGGAACCCTGGCTCACTTTCCACATCGTCATTTTTCTCTTTTTTTTTCCATTCTTACCCTTCATACAATCAGAGTTTCACTTTCTTATTGATTATTATAATTGAAAATTTATTCTTGGATGCGTTCTACACTTTTTATAATACCCTCATCTACAATTTAAAAATAAGATAAGACAAGTTTTTAAACGCAATACAGACAGTATCTCTTCTATCGAACTCACATTCTGCAATGTATACCAGTGGTAAAGATCAAAAGGATGTAGGTATAGTACTCTACTCAGATCACAAGCTAAAGCGATACCCATACCCACACTCAAAATAAAGGACATTGATGAAATCCATAGATTAAATATGATCCTGAAAAGTGTTCAAGTAAGGTTTGAGCTTTGTGTCAAGCAAACTTCTCAAACAGCAAACTAGTGTCCTGCAGGGGTGCGACGTTTTGCACCCGGCATCCGACCGGACCCGGCCCGACCATAAAATAGTAGACCTTTGACGCGTGTTATCAAAGTTACATAAACTGCAAATTTTTATATAGTATGAAAAAACATACTATTGTTTCAATTTCATCAATTAACAAGGACAAAAAAAGTCATCTAAAGCTTCGTAAAAAAGCTAGTGAATCAAGAGATTCAGGGTTTAGTTGTTGTCGTCGTGCTTCTAAAACTTCTAGTTTTACAAATAACATCATAATCCCATTACATCCGTTAACGCCTTTGGCTTCGTTCAATCTAAACAAGTATTCCAGAGTCAACCATACTCCTCACAGAAGTATGACATTACATCCAGCAATGATTACCGTGCCACTAGATTCAACTGTATCTAAAAATTGAGGAATTTGAGGTGTTCGGGTAACCGACCCGGTGCAGGACAGTACAGCAAACATATATCTCAACCTCACGATTCTAATTAATTAACAAGAGATAGTTAAAAGATAAAAAACCATCTTTTCTTTTCTTTCTCTTCAGTTTTCAACAATAATTATATTCAGTGAAGAATAAATAGATGTTGGCAATGTAATTAGGAATATCATCGCTCAGTATTTTCTAGAAGATCTAAAGCAGAAGCCCATTTTACTGATAAATTTCAATATCTCGTATTCTCAATTCTTTGTTAACCATAAAATATGTATACTATTATCGAGAAATCGCTTGTCACAGTTTCATTATCGAATAAAATACAATTTCATGTTGATGAATAAATCAACTATCCAAAATACTTATTAACATTTCGAATTTTATCATAATCATTTACACTAATAATTATCATTTAATAATATATCTTTATTGCGATTTCAATCATATGATTGTTTTTTTTATTGATTTTAGTTATTCTGTTCATAACGCTTTAAAAAAAAGTACAACATAAAACAAAAGCACTTATTTTAAGATAAAATAACATGTCTTTTTTTTTTCACCAAAAAAATAAAAAAACTTTCAATAATATACAAACAATAACAGAGCGAAAATAAATCTTTTATATATACAATAAAAAAAACAATTTTAAATAAATACATCTAAATGTGTACAAAAAATTTAAAAAAAAACAAGACAAAGACATAATTGTTAATTATTTTGATCAAATTGATTTGTTAAAAGAAATGAAATTAGTGACGCTTTTTGTGCATCTAATGCTTCAAGTTGTTGTAAATAATGTAATTGATCTGTTTGTGTTATTGTTGATGAAGCTAAACAAACAGTCAAAATGAAATTTTAAATAATATAAAAAAAAAAAAAATCTTCTATTACCAAGAACAGCAATTACATTTCTTGTCATACAACGAAATGCATTTTGTAAATGTATAATAATTGAATTTCGTTGAGCAACAAGTGTACAACGTTCAAATGAATCTTCAATAGCTGTTTGAATTATTTCATAATACATTTTACGTTGACGAGCAACCTAAATTTATTAACAACTTTTATTCAAGTTTTACGCTTTTCTTTTATAACTTACTATACATAATGAATGAATTAATTGAGCATATTCTTTATGATAATTTTTCATCTAAATAAAACCATAACGTACAGGTTCTTTTTTTTTTCTTTAACTTACAGCAAAAGCGATTAATACATTTGTTAATAATTCTCTACCACAATAGAATAATAATTCAGCAACATATTCAGATTTCCATGGAAGTGGTTGTGCTAAAAAAAGTAAACATAAAAACTATTATTTCTTTAATCTATCAAAATTTTTTTTGTTTTACCAATAAGTTCATTTAATAAAGCAAGTTTACTATTACTATTCCAGGCTTTTTGAGCATGTACTGATCGATTAAGTACATTAAAAGCACGACTTAAATCAAAATAAGCTTGTTCTTCATCAACATTTGGATAGATAAAAGAATTTAATCGATCATGTGAAAATTTTTCCCAATCAATTTTATCTTCAAAACAAAAACAAATCAAATCAAATAAATAAATTGAATATTTTACTTAATGACATAGGTCCAAATAATAAATAAATAAGACGAGCTTGAAACCAAATTGGTTGTTTATAAAGAATAACATTTAATAAACAACCACGATGTGCATGTAATCGAATTGAATCAAAATAAACCAAACGAAAACAAAAACGTATGGAATGTTCAAGTTGAATTTCAATACCGACTAACAAACAATAGAACTATATTAAAATAATAAATAAATATAAATAAATATACCATGTTCACATGAATAAAAACGATCAATTTTTTTCTTTAATTGTATATGTGAATCTAATTGAGAAAATGCCCAAGCAATTTCTCGTTCAGACCAATGTCTTGTTGCTTCACCAAAAAATCGACCAATATGAGATAAATCTTCAATAGATGTACCATCATCCAATAAGTTCAACTATTTACACAAAAAAAAAAAGTCAAATTGTCTTACTGAAAGAAGCTATTAGCATAATGCAGAGATCAGGCACGTACCCAGAAATTTTCTCAGGGGGGAGGGGAGGGGGAGGCACCAAGAGAAAATTAAAAAACGTCTACCTGCACCCTCCTATAGGCGTTTTCAGTCCTGAAGGGGGGACCTTCAGTACGTGCCTGGTAGAGATATTTCGTATTGAGAATAATATCTTATGAACGTTTCATCTCTTGTTTTAGGATAAAAGTCCTGAAACTTGCATAATGAACTATCCTCGTCAAACCCAATTTTTGTATAAAATCGCCATAAAAATGCAGTATCCAAGCAGCAATAATCTAAGAGTCTAAAGTCTTTTCAGAATATTCATAACTCATTTTGGACTTCTCTACTGAAAAAAAATGTTCTCATTATTACGTTGCAAATCTCTAATTAGCATTCTGTTTTAGATTGAACAATAGATCTCAGACAGTGGCGAACTGAAATAAACAAAGTTTTATTCTTTAAACAATATCATAGTTTTATTTCATCGTTTGAAATCACTAAATAGAAATTTTTAGTAATTCATAAATTAAAACAGAATCGAAATTCATTCGAATAAATATTTATTTTTTCATCAATTTTCA